GGAAGGTGAGCATCATGGAATGCCAGTTTAATAGAACAAAGTGTTCTTGCATTGAGGGAGTGCTTGAGTGGAGGCCCAATGTCCATCTGCTACCTTACTACTCAACCTATAAATATATGCACATAGATCTATTTCCCCTTCATCCTATATAAATATTTTTACATATGTGTTTACCTGTATTTAGACCTCTATAAATGCCCTTTGTCTCCTAGCTCTTTCCTTTATTTCCTTTTACTTTCCTCTTGTCCCACAATAATGCTCGGCCTTCATTTGGGTTTCAGTTATTTCTCTTAGTTACAATGCCCTTGATCAAGCCCTACCAGGCCTTATACACCCTCCTCACCACCGATTTTGGATCACTTGTTATTCCCTTGTCCCTGGGTTTGTTACAGGTTCACGATTCAATGTTAAAAGTATGTTGTTAGTTTTTCTAGAAGGCTGGGAAGAATGGTACCAGAAAAATCAAGATGAGCTCCAAAGTATTGGGAGAGGTTATGTTTGCATTATATTTGGAAAACTTCACTTGAGCACAAGCCATATTTCTTCAAGACAAAGACTCCATAAGTATACACATGGAAAAACTTTGACACAAGGTTCAGGCTCATTCACAAATTATGTAAGGAGGAATCTTGGTATGTTACATGAATATGAAAACTCATATTTTCTCAAGCCTCAAAGAGCTCATTCCATAGGAAAAAAAACTGTGTATGTGGTGAATGTGGGAACGCTTTTCGTTGTAGGTCACGGCTCCTTGTACATCTCAGAATTCATACAGGTGAGAGACCTTATGAATGCACCAAATGTGAAAGAACCTTCCGTGCCAAGTCAAATCTTAAAGCCCATCAAAGAGTTCATAGAGGAGAAAAGCCCTACACATGTAATGAATGTGGGAAGGTGTTTTCCTTCAGGTCACAGCTTATTGTTCATCAGGAAGTTCACACAGAAGGAAAACCCTATGGTTGCAGTGAGTGTGGGAAAACCTCCAGCTGGAAGTCACAGCTTAGTTTACACCAGAGAAGTCACACCGGAGTGAAACCCTATGAATGTAGTGAGTGTGGGAAAGCTTTCAGTTTGAAGTCACCATTTGTTGTGCACCAGAGAACTCATACCGGAGTGAAACCCCATAAGTGCAATGAATGTGGGAAAGCCTTTAGGAGTAAATCATACCTGCGTGTACACATCAGAATGCATACAGGAGATAAACCTTATCAACGCAGTGATTGTGGGAAAGCCTTCAATATGAAGACCCAACTTGTTGTACATCAGGGAATTCACACAGGTGAGAAACCCTATGAATGCAGTGAATATGCGAAGGCTTTTGGTAGGAGGGAACAGCTTATAGCACACCTGAGAGCTCACACAGGAGAGAAGCCCTATGGATGTAATGAATGTGGAAAAGCTTTTAGTAGCAGGTCATACCTTGTTACACGTAGAAGAACACACACAGGTGAGAGACCCTATGAGTGCAATTTCTGTGAGAGAGCCTTTTGTGGGAAATCACAGCTGATTATACCCCAGAGAACTCACTCGACAGCAAAGCCATATGAATGCAACAAATGTGAAAAGGCACACCCTAGGAAGGCATCGCTCCAGATACACCAGAAAACTCATTCTGGAGAGAAACCTTTTGAATGCTGTGAATGTGGAAAAACCTTTACTCAGAAGTCATCCCTCAGTGAACATCAGAGAGTTCATACAGGAGAGAAGCTCTGGAAATGCTCTGAATGTGGGGAATCCTTCTGTTGGAATTCAGGGCTTCGAATACATCTAAAAACTCTTAAGTTTTTAGTCACTAATTTCTTAAGTGAGAAATTAGAATGATGAAATGAATGTAAGAAGCAGTCTTACAGAAGTTGGTCCTCTGGAGACTTCAGATTATCATATGGTCAGGATATACAGCAGGAGCCCCTGAACTACACTTGTATAAGTTATGTATTTGGAATGAGTGTGTGAAAGCCATCAATCGTAAGTCCTTTACATCTTTGTGAGAGATATAACTGAGCAGTACAAGGACCAAAGGTAGTAAGTAGCATTATTATGAATATTTAAGAAAATTCATCCTGAGAGCACCTTAAAAATTAATGAATTGGAAAAGCATTTTTACATAGACTATGTGAAAGTCACATGCCAGATTTGAAGCTATGTTTTTATCAAGAGTCAAATTCTAAATTATGCTATGGTGGTAAACATTTTCATGCTAAAGTATAAATTTTTTTCTTTTTAAAGAAATGTGTAAATAAAGTAATGGTCAAGAAAACAGGAACATATTCTTACAGCTATGGGATATTTTGTTTGACTTTCTGGAGTAACACTAAATTGTGTTTTTAAAATGTTTGATATTTTAAAATTAATTTGTTATGCATATATTTTATAGTTCACCAATGTGGTTTATCTTGCTAGATATCAGCATTTTATTTCTTAGTAAAATAACATAACTAAAATAATATGGCTTATAACAAATGAAAGGATATACTTTTACTTCAGATAATTTTACTTTTTAAGTCTATATGAGTGGATCTGGCAATTGTTACAGGGCTACCTTTCAAATGAATCCTTAAGAATTTTCAAAATGGATGTTTGTTATATCTGAGCAGTTCAGTATTGGTTCACTGATATATGTTTTGTCTAGAGAAATGCTATTTTCAGGTCATCCCTCAAACTAGCCAACCAACCAAAACAAGACTCACTGGCACCGAAATGATTCTGACTCAGAGCAACACTACTGGGGCGGACTAGAACTGCCCCTGGGGGTTTCTGCACTGGTGACTCTTTATGGGGGTAGAAAGCTCAGTCTTTCTCTCTTGGAGCAGCTTGTAGTTTTGAACTGCTGACCTTGTGGATCACATCCCAGCACGTAACTAAAAGGTGAGCATTATTCTCATGGGTGGCTAATGGTAACATCACCTCCAGGATTTTGTGTTTGTCTGTCATTTTCACATGAACCACAGGGGAAATATGGGGACTCATTTACTTTACTGCAGAATTCTTGAGATCATCATGAGTTCATGATAAATTGATTCCCTCAGCAACTTTGATACTGCCTCTGACCTTATGGCCTCTATGTACTTTTCAGATATCTTTTTTTTGATTTAAGGATTTTATCTGTTTTACTTTGTCATTCTTGTTAGTTTTATTTATTTTGTTAATCATGTTATTGGGGGCTTTCAGATATCTTTTAAATAACAAAAAAAATTTTTTCTTTCATAAGGAGAATGAGCTTGTTTCTTATAGGCAAAGGGTTCTGGTTGATAAATTATTTCCTTGGAATAATGTAGCTAATGAGAGGTAAAAACAGAGACACGGAATGAAGGCAGAATTGAGACAAAGAACGTGAGGTTAAGAGTGACTCTATTAGGGTACGCAAGAAGCTCCCGGGAGGGAAGGGATTGCAGAGACAGGGACAGGAGCATCTTGAGCTCCTGGAAGGGTTCCGCGACCCAGCGAGTTAGGTCAGGGAAATCACACCAGTCGCTGGGGCCGTGGGATATTTGTGGGATTTGGGTCAGGGAAATATGCAAATTAGGTGGAGAGACCAGCTTCTTGGAATGTGGGAGAAGAGGCTGCACAGTCCCGCTCTGGCCTTGAGAGGCGGGGAAGGAGCCAGATAGTCCAGCGGGCTATTGTCCAGGAGAGCTGGGGGAAGGTGCTGCACAGACCAAACCCGGCCCAGACAGTTAACAAACTATTTGGGAAAAGCAGGTGGATTAAGCTTCCCAAAACAAGAACTTTTAAGCCTATAGTATGAAATAGTGTTTTTTTTATACACGTAGACTCTAAGGGTAAGATTCTAGGAAAACTAAGAAACTACTGCCATGGAACAAGTTTTTAATTTGTGAGGAAATGGTCTTTGTTGGCTAATGCAACACCAGACCTAACACTGGTCCATGGCAGGACATACAGCAGCTGGAAACTATGCAGTAATATAGAGGAACAAATGGCAATGCTTTGTGAAATCATTCTTGATTGGTTTCCTGGTGTGTTTTCCACAAATTTAGCCCTGTCCCTTTACCAACACCCAAAGAAGTATGTTACTGAAAGGAGTAGCTGTTCATGGATCGGGAAGGTGAATGGGAGAATATGTCATTAAAAATATCATCTGTGGCTGGGAAAATATTGTTCTGGCAGAAGACTCGTAGTGGTCCTGAACAACTAGAGTATGTTGTTTTGGTCCATAAGGAAATTCTGCAGGGCCATTTCTGATCTCCTCCAGCTACTCATGGAAATAGGAAAATCCAACTCCATATCTGCACAAGGAAGAATCCTATGGGGCAGAGGTCAGTCATGCCTCTACTGTCCAACTTATTTTACCCTGTATCAGCACCAACCATCCTTCCCTCAATACTATACTTTTCTTCTGTGTTTTATAATTCATTGCAATGGCCATGCAGAGCTCATGGATAATACTTAGGGTTTATTAGGGAAGTTGACAGGTGTCTTAGGCAGGGTTCCCTTGAGAAGCAAAGCCACTAAGGCTTATATATGTAAATAGAAATTTGTTTCTAAAATTGCTTGCACCATCCAAGTCTGGGCAGGCTCTAAGTCTGTGGGTCAGATATGAGGCTGGCGGGTTCTCCTGACTGCTGCAAGGACTGATAAACCAATATCAGCAGAAAGACCACAGGCTGATGGCTGCAAAGGTGAATGACACCAAGGTGAGCATGTCAGGTGGCAGGCCATTGATGACTCCCAATATCAGCAGGCAACATTTTAGGCTGTTGGTTCAAATCCAAAGAACTGGTGGTTGATGAGCCAGATGCAGGATCCAGAACTGGCAAAAAGCAAGCAAGCTTTTCCATCATGTCCTTTTATATTGGGAGCAAGCCTTTCCATTGATTGCTTCAAGGTTATGTGGATGTTGCATCCCACTCTAATTTTAGAACTGATTAGCTACTCAGAGCAGATCTCATTATGGAGGTGATTATATCATGTTAGACCACATTATGGGCCATTCTAGATCTTAACTGCCAAACCATTGACCTTGCAGTCAGCAGCCCAATGTTTAACCAATCTCTTGGCTACTTTGCAAAGTAACTTAAAAGCAAAAACAAAAAATGCCTTGAATTATGCAAAGATCACATGCAATTATGCATTTCCTGGATATTTCAAGTAGAAAAGCACTTGATTACTAACTAAAAGATTTGAGGTTTAAATCTACCCATAGACATCTCAATAAAGGCTCTGAAGTGTACTTTTGATTGAGAATAATATGCAGCAGAATTATACTCTTGACATGGGATCATCATGATTTAGAATCAACCTATAATTTTGTGCACTTTTCATGTACAATTTAAAAAACACTAGTGGTGTTAACCCTCCTAACATTTTAAGGTAGTGGGTTAGGCATTGGGCTTATAACCACAAGGTCAATGATTCATACAACCAGCTTTCTGCACTCTTAAAGGTTTACTTCTTTAAATATTTTGTAGCCTTGGAAATCTGGGCAGTTTTGCTCTGTCCCCTGTGACTGCTATGATTTGAAATCAGTTGTACAGCAGTGGTTTTAGCTTTGGTTTATAACCATAATCTAAGTAGCTCTTTACCTTTCAGAGGCCGCTGGATAGTATCTGATCGTATACATCAAATCACACTACTGTGATGTGTGTCAAGTAGGAACTTAACAGGGTAAGTGGTGTAGTGGCCCAAGGTCATCTCAAGGTAAGGATGATGGGTCCTTGATCACAGCCAATAGTTATGTCTCCAAATGCCCCATATACAGTTTGTATCATGTATGTCACTGCACAAACCTGCCAGCACCATGACAGGTTCATGCCACCGTTCTCAATGCATTGTCAGCTAACTGTCCTTTCAGAGTTGACAGTGTTGTTTTCCTCACAAAGTCTACAAATGCTTATGGAACGCAGCTGACATGGCGTGCTGTTGATTTGTAAATCACAACGTTTCCTTGTAATACCTACGTGGGGGAAATTGAGTAGTTGACAAACCTTACGTAGGGAATCAGGACTCAGTCTGTATAACATCCATGTCATCAGAAAATTGTACCCCCTTAATGGAAACTTGGGGGGTGGGTTGTTTGAGAAAAGTCCACCTATCAATAAAAAAGCCAAGGAAGATTACCTTGGATTAAATGCTGTGTACAAACATTTTTATTTGCAGTGTGCTGAGTTTGAGTTCTAAAGCCTCAAATTCATACCTGCTGAAATTCCAGCAATACTCAAACTCAAAATAAAAATTGATATCTTTGGAGTCTAGTAGAAACAAAAGACCAGAACATGTCAGGATGAAGGTAAAGCTTGATTAAGTAGCTGCTCAAAAGACTAGGTTATGAGGGAGGACATCCTGTACACAACAACCATGATCTGTGTCAATCACTGATTATCCATTTACCACAATATCCTTTTTTTTTTTTTTTTGGTGCTAAGGAATCCACAGATTTATGTCCAGGTAGTAAGAACCATAGGAAAGGTGGAAAATCCCAGGCATGTGCCAGTAACTGGTTTAGGACTTATATCTGAGTGCCTGTCAGTGATATACAACCCGCTGGTTGTTTTCGGTGTGACATGAAGAGGGGAAGTCAAAATGCAGCTGCCAGGGCTCCGGTCCGTCCAGGCTCAGGTCTATTCAATCATTTAAAAATGAGTCTCTGTGCTCAATGGTTGGCTGTAGACAAATTCTCACAAGAATACACTTAGTTTATTAAATCTATTCTGACTCATAGTGACCCTATAGGAGAAAACATCCCCTTACTTTCTCCAAGTAAAATAAAATCGTTGACAACTTGAGTAAATAAATAAAAGAATACACTTAGTTTTTAATTCTTGTTAGGGGCTTTCAAAAATTCTAGTCAAAACAGTGATTTCTGAGTGATTTGTTGTGTCAGTTAAATTCAAGTTACGTCGGCTCAGAACAAAACCAGCCATATTTATAACAGTTTCTCAGTGGACACGGGGCAACCACAGGGGCTTATTAGGAAGAAGTTTTCAAGAAAATTGAAAATTGCACTGGAGAGAAGAAGGCCAGGAAAGTTGTACTGAGGAATACATGCTTTTCCCTCATGTTAGTGCACCTCTTCTTTTTTGTTGTTGGGGGGGTGGGTGTTAGCAAGGGCTATCCTATGAGAATTTCATTGGGAAATCTTCTCTCATCCCCTCTGTATCCCTCATCTTGCCATTCTAGCCTCATTTTTGTTCCTCAAACTAAAAAATCTGGAAAAGGAACATCATTTGAGTTTCTCAAAGATGCCCAAACTGCTATTTTGATGTGGTTTAAATTAAAGAACCCAGACTTCTTTGGGGTAAACGTCAAATGGAAACATCACCTTACATTTTGAAATTTTTAATAAAGGTTTCTGTCAACACTCAGCCTTAACATCGTGCTGTCTAGTAAAGATGAACCCAAGATGATGTCCCCATCTCTCTTTGCTTTCTGATACTGATGGGTGAGGGTATGATCTACAGTGGTCAAAAGTGGGGAGCTCACACTGAGAGTTGCTTCAGATAGAGTGGCGGGTTTAAGAAACCGGACTCTAAGAAAGATAGTAACAAATTCCTGAGTGTAGATAAGATGCAGCTGAAGGTCTTATTGAAATGTAGAGTTGGATCCAATGTGTGTGTATAGAGGGTGTAAAGGCAAGTTCTCCGCAAGGGCCTCAACCCCACCTGCCACTCCAAGAGAAAAAGACTAAATGGCAGTGAGGTTCCTCAGTAGAAAGAATATGGATCCAGAACCCTAAGAGTTGGAACAAGGACTGG